AGTTCAATTCCCAGCAACCACATGGTGGCTCACAACCATTTGTAATGCGATCTGGCGCCCTCTTCAGGCATGCAAGCATATATGTAAATAAATCTTTAAAAAATTAACCTTGGAGTGACCTTTTCCTTCGACCAACTCATGCAACAGAGAACACCCTAACATCTGATAGTTCTTTTTTTTTTTTTTTTTTTTTGGTTTTTCGAGACAGGGTTTCTCTGTGGCTTTGGAGGCTGTCCTGGAACTAGCTCTTGTAGACCAGGCTGGCCTCGAACTCACAGAGATCCGCCTGCCTCTGCCTCCCAAGTGCTGGGATTAAAGGCGTGCGCCACCAACGCCCGGCAACATCTGATAATTCTAACATCAGTGTTATCCCAATGCTGGCATTCATAAAATCTAAGATTTCCTTGTCAGCCTTGTAAGCACCTGAGGTATTATTGGCAGTCACTTCCCCCCCACACACACCCAGCTGCTCCAAAGAAGCAACATGTAGGCAGCCGCTTCCAAATCACCACACAGAGACTTAATATTATTTACAAATGCTCGGCCAATAGCTGGGGCTGGCTACTAGCTAGCTCTTACATTTAAATGAACCCGTTTCTATTAACTTATGTATTGCCACGTGGCTTCACCTGTCCTCAGTAGCCGGCTGGCATCTCTCCAACCCCGCCCTCCTTCTTCCCATCATTCTCAGTTTGGCTTTCCTGTCTAACTTCCTGCCTGCCTGTCAGGTTTTCATTAACCAATGAGAGTGTGCAGAAGGGTTATTCCGTAGCAACAGCACACTGCCTCATCACCCCCACAGGGGCAGTAAGAGTCTTCATCTGGACTTCCCTTGTGCCCGAGGGCGAGGACGCCTCCTTATTGCTGGGCATGGGGAGAACTCAGGATGCCATTAGGTCCCTGCTAAGATCATCCGGTCTTAGTGAGAAAGATGTGTCTGGGGACCAGTGAAGGACACTCCCCATCCCCCGAACACAGCAGGGGCTCCTGCACCGATGCCAGGTTAGGGACAAACCACACTCAAGCACCCGTTTTCACAGAGATCCTTTATTAATTGGGGAAGAAAAGTTCAAGTGGCTGCTTTCTGACTCAGGCAGAAAACAGCAGCAGCCAATGACCTCGCAGGCATGATTTTTAAGAGGAGAAGAAGCGGAGGTCTGTGTTAGAATGGGCTAGGAGGAGATAGGGGTGGAGGGAGAAGGGGAAGGGGGCAGGGATGTTTGTCCCAGAGGTATCAAGGACGGCCTCTGGATAGAGAGGACACAGACATGGTACATGGGAAAATGGTGGTTTATAAATGTAAAGGGGAACCCCATGTTAGGATGAGGTGTTTAGTTTTAATTGGGCATGTTGATTAGGTGAGCCAAAGGGGGCTATTGGTTACCGGATTTCAATACTTTGATAGCTGGACCTTAGCAGTCAGCCTCAGGAGAGGGGCATGGCCAAATAAGGAACAGACCTTGGTGGCAGCTTTAGGAATGTCATCTAATGGTTTTTTAGCAAGGTGGAGGGGATGGGGAGAAGGGCAAGGCCTGCCAGAGCCACGTGCTCGAGTGGGCTAGAGTCCCCTCAGCTCTTCCCGCGAGCTTGCCAGTGTTAGTGATAAATGGAGACCCGTGACATCCCCGAGAGCGGGTGCGAGCCCTGACTTCCTTTAGGCCTCTGACATCCTTCCAATAGGCCCAAGGGTGGGTGGGGGAGGAGGATACCCAGGAGGATGGTGGTCCCTGTTGTGCGGAGGTCAGCCCACTGGCAATAAGGGTCCCAGCTCCACACCCTGTCTTCCCTGGTGCCGCTTGGAGAGTGTGGAGAGTATTCTCAAATCTTTGTCACCCAGCCTGGCAGGGATGACAGTCTAGACCCACACAGGACCTTCTCCAGCACAGACACAAACGGACAGGATAATGTTGGGCTTTTCTGTACAATGCGGCTGACACACATCGGTTGCTGATGTCGAGTTCTGACTCCAAGGGTGTCTGTTTCTTCGTGTTTCAGCTGAAAAAGCAGGGTTTTGTTAGAACTTTCTTGTCCGTATGCTAGCTTCACCAGCGTGTCGTCTGGTATTGACAAGGCAGAGACAGAGAGGTACGGGTGTGACTCGGTTGGCACAGCGCTTGCCTAACGTGCAGGAAACCCTGGCCTCATGCCACAGTACCACGTGAGAGCAGGGTCCCGCCTCTAATCTCAGCACTGGGAGATGGAGGCATAACGGTCAGAATTCAAGGTTATTCTTGACTGCGTAACACGTTTGAGGCCAGGCTGAGACCCTATGTCAAAAAAAGAAGCCAAGAGTGAGGGAATAAATTGCAGTATCATTCCTTGGAGCTCAGGCTTTCTTCCTTCCTTCCTTCCTTCCTTCCTTCCTTCCTTCCTTCCTTCCTTCCTTCCTTTTTCCCTCTTTGGTTTTTCAAGACAGGGTTTCCCTGTATAGCCCTGGCTGTCCTAGAACTCACTCTGTAGACCAGGCTGGCCTCAAACTCAGAGATCCTCCTGTCTTTGCCTCTGAGTGCTGGGATTAAAGACGTGCACCACCACTGCCTGGCCAGGGCTCAGGGTTTCTAACTGGCATGAGCCTTCTCTCTGCTCCCCTCAGCCTTCCTGTGCTTTTATTTATTTTTACAAGGTCTGGGAAATAGGGAAAAGGATGGTCAGTCTTCCACATCATCCATGTTGGAATCTATGGATTCAGCCAAACATCCATCAAAAAATGTTATTTAGTCCCAGGACTCAGGAGGCAGAGGCCAGCCTGGTCTACAGAGTGAGACCCTGTCTCAGAAAATATGGTTAGAGTCTAGCTTGGATGGGGAGGGACACATGAGGCTCCACCCCTCCTGAAGATTTCCTGGTTGTGAATTAAAAGTGTGCACCACCACACCCAGCTCGTTATTTCCTCCTTTTCAAGTACAGTTCTGGTCAGGAATCAAATCCAGGTATTCACCATTGATTTGGGGAGTTTTTCCACCTTGGTTATGTCCCTGCTGTGTTACTACTTTTGAGGGAGACAGTACTGGGGGTTAAAAGTAGGTCCTCATACATGCTAGAGAAGTGCTCTACCACTGAGCCACACCCCAGCCCCTCGCTGGGGGATTCTAGGCAGGGGCTCTACCACTGAGCCACACCCAAGCCTCTCAGTGGGGGTTCTAAGCAGGTAGAAGACTCTACTTTTCTCCCACACTCCTAAGGCTCCCATTTTTTAATTTCATTAAATTGGTGAGGCTGCTCTTGAAATTACTCTGTAACCCAGGCTGACCTTGAACTTTTGATTTTCCTGTTTCAACTTCCTGAGTAGTTTGGAAGATAGTCCTGCTGTTGCCCCCATCACCCCGAGTCACTATCTTCTGCGGTTCTTCTTAATCCTTTCTGATTCTGTCTGTGTGGCTTGCTACCCTCAGGCCACTCCTAACGCCTATGACACGTATCATCAGACAGCTTGAGAAGGTCCCCAGTAAAGCCTCCTGTTGAGGAGAGGGCATGAGGGCTTCAGGTCTGTACAGATAACCCTGGAGAAACCAGGAATGTTGATCACGCAGGGATCTCCTCTGCTTTTCACTCAGAAAACTAGTAGCGGGCGTCACTAATAACCTGCTGATCTTTGCTAGCCATAGAGTCAGACCTCACCCGAATCCCCAGAATGTTTATCCAGACTCTCCCTCCCTAGCTCCTAGGTAATAGATCCATCCCATCGATAGGGGAGGCATCACATGCACTTTGTATCCTGCTGACCTCTATGCTGCCTCAGTCGGAAACCGCACCAGATCCTAGACCCGCAAGCTATGGAACACATCTTCACTGGCGAATGTGCAAAGAGTTTATTGACCCTTTGCGGCTTGTTTTCTGGTCACAAGGCTTGCAGGGACACCACCCTCGCCACCAACGGCAACTGTTGTGTTCATCTTCTCCCAACCGGCCATGACCTTGAAGTCTTTGTGTGTGTGTGTGTGTGTGTGTGTGTGTGTAACACATTCCCTGTGCTTGGAAAGCTGAAATCAGCTCTCCCTCCGATGTTCCCCACTCCCTGTAGGATTTGTACCCCTGTGGCAGCTGCTGGAGAAGAAGGAGGGAGGATACAAGTGACTGGGATTCAGCCTCAAGACTCCCATTTATGGGGGGTAAAGGTGGTTGTGGGCAGGGTTAGCAATGGAGGCTTCGCTCCTGGAATTTGACTGGTCTACAGAGCAGGTTTTAGGACAGCCAGGGCTGTTGCACAGAGAAACCCTGCCTCCAAAACCCCCAAATAAATAAATATCAAGCAGAAAGGACTCCCATACAGTAACCTTTCCTTTTCCAGAGCTCTGGTTCTTCCCCAGTCTAGGGCCAGTTCCCCCGTTCCTGCCTTTGATGGAACTGCTAGCAACAAGGTTGTGTCACCAAACTAAAGCCACCTTTGTTTTGTTTTTGTTTTTTGTGTTTTTTATGAGACAGGGTTTCTCTGTATTGTTTTGGAGGCTGTCGGACCAGCCCGGCCTCAAACTCACAGAGATCCGCCTGCCTCTGCCTCCTGAGTGCTGGGATTAAAGGCGGGTGCCACTACTGCCCGGCAACTAAAGCCACCTTTTAAGAAGACCCCTTCCTTCCCAGCCAGCTGGGAGCAATCATGAGGGAGGGTTTCCCAGAGGGAGACACGGGCAAACCTTGGTGACTCATCAGACACGGATCCCACAAGCCAAGACGTGACTGCGGAGTCAAACGTCCCTTCCAGTTTGACTTTAATCCCGAGTTCTCCACAGGGCCTCTTCCCCCGACTCCACGGTTCACCCTATCTGCTGGTCTCAGAGCCACAGAGAGGAAGGGGGTGTGGCCAAGCTTCTGAGACTCCACTCACTTTGACTCTCAGAGGCTGCTAGGGACCCTGAAGAGCAAACACGCCACACGCACAAGGAGACAGGTAAACACCATTTTGACCTTTTCTCTTGTTCTCAACAAGGAAATATGGAGCAGTTTCTGGGTGCTGACCACAAGGACCTGCTGTTTGCTTCTGTCTAACTTGCAATAGGCATAGACAGAAGCCTGCCTTCCAACACCCCCTTTGCCAGGTTTTCTGGGTTCTCCGAGGTGGAAGAAGCTGTTGGATGCCCAGGAGAGAACGGTGGGGCCGGGAAGCCAACCCCAAGGCTCTCAGCAGGTCTGAACTGAGTGCATCTTAGGTCTGGATAGTGAGGCCCTGTTTGTTCTAAGTTTCTGGATTTAGTAACTGTTGCCGCCCTGCCCCCTCATCCATCCATCCCAGGCCCAGGGCCCTGCTCCTTATGCTACGGTGAATCCCATGGGCATGCAGCTTTGCTCTGGAATTGCCCCCTTCCAGCCAAGCCTCGCTGAGGATGCAGAGGTGCTGCCAGAGAGGTACACTGGTCCAGCCCCCCGGGGATGATTGCGGCCACAACCCTTGTAGTGACCCGCAGGGCGCGTCCCTAAGTACAGCAATCCTTAGGCTTGTGATGGAAGAAGTAAAACAGACTCGCGGCCTGGGAAGTAAGGGGGAACGGCCCGTCTACTCCATGTCTAGGGACATGCGTCGCACGCGCAGCTTGTGGCCCTTGTGGGAAGGGGGAAGCCTTCTGCTGAACTCCGCTTTTCCCAAGCGGCTTTGGAGGGTATCACTGTGAGACCCGCTCCCCGCACCTGGAACGCTGCACTGCGAGCAGTTCAGCCTCTGGCACCTCGCCTCTTACACAGAGTGGGGGCCAGGCCAACCCCCACACTGGGGACAGAAGCCAGGCCGTCTGCTTTCCCTATACCTGCTCCCGGTCCCCACCTGTGTCCTGCAGCCTGGGAGGGGACTCGCTGGAGAGAGTTGCTGATGCTCTGTTAGGTAGAGGACATGTGGACAGGGTAGGGTGGGAGGAAGGGACGAGGTTCTGCGCCGACACCGGAGACACACTAGGTCGGCACATCCTGCGAGGTCCCTGGGGGCTGACGCAGGTCACAGCCTCACGAATAGAGTTAAATTTAACTCTATGTAAAGTGTAGGATGGTGGTGATGTAGGGGAAGCTCATTGCAAAGGAAGAGAGAGAGAGAGAGAGAGAGAGAGAGAGAGAGAGAGAGAGAGAGAGAGAGAGAGAGAGAGAGAGAGCACGTACTGGGGTAACAGTTGTAAATCCGTGGCCCCTGAATACACAATTAAGTTCTGTCAGGCCAGCACTCCATATTTCTGTTGTTTAGTTTCCTTGAGACAGGGTCTGGCTTGGGAGGCCAGACTAGTATCAAACTTGTATTCTTAGGTCCGCACTCCAAAGTGTTGGATTTTAGGTGTACGCCACCATGGCTGGTCCTACGTATTGTTTATAAAACAAAACATTTCTCATGATAATCTGTCTTCTTCCTTATGGTAAAACAGTGGATGATCAGTCAACGGGAGGTTCCTGTTCCCGCCTGGCAAAAACTGGCCCATGCTCTTAAAAATGAACACCTTTCCCTGTTTTCCATCAGCACCTGGGGCTCTGGAGGGGGTCCTTTAGACTATTCTCTGTTTTTAAAGTTTTTTTTTAAACTCCCTCAAAGTGTTTTCCTGGTGTTATACTTCACTATGGGATGAGTCCTAGTTTTTGATATAGTACTAGTGGTTAAACCTAAGAACTGTGCCTTCTAGGCAGGGGCTCTACCACTGAGCCACACCCCCATCCCCTCACTGGGGGATTCTAGGCAGGGGCTCTACCACTAAGTCACACCCCCATCCCCTCACTGGGGGATTCTAGGCAGGGGCTCTACCACTAAGTCACACCCCCAGCCCCTCACTGGGGGATTCTAGGCAGGGGCTCTACCACTAAGTCACACCCCCAGCCCCTCACTGAGGGATTCTAGGCAGGTGCTCTCCAAATGAGTCTGGCCTGCAGTCTTTTAGTTCCAAACAAACACACAGAGGCTTGTATTAATTATAAACTGTTTGGCTAATGGGTCAGGCTTGTTGTTGACTAGCTCTCTCTTTATTATTAAGCCTTCTATTAATCAGTGTATCTCCACATGCTCTTGACTTAGCGGTAACACCTGGACCTTTTGCTTCCTTGGCAACTACGTGGCACCTCCTTGACTCTGCCTACTATCTTTCTCTATCCCTGTTTGGAAGTCCTGCCTGGCTAGATCCTGTCTGTCTATTGGCCAAAACAGCTGTATTCATCAACTAATAAGAGAAACTATTTCACAACATACAGAAGGACATCCCCCATTATCTCTTCTTTTCTGTCTAAATAAAAAGGAAGGTTTTAACTTTTTTATTAAGATTTATTCATTTATTATGTATACAGTGTTCTGTCTACATGTATGCTTCCACACCAGCAGAGGGCGCCAGATCTCATTACAGATGGTTGTGAGCCACCATGTAGGTGCTGGGAATTGAACTCAGGACCTCCGGGAGAGAAGCTGAGCCATCTCTCTGCTCCAGAGGGTTTTAACTTTAACATAGTAAAATTATGCGTAACAAAACAGTTATCAAACAAGAACTACAGTAAGCAATATTTAGTTCGTTAAATTAGTAAAATTTAAAGAAAATATTCAAGTGGGTGTGGTTAGCGGTTCGGTAAACTGCCCTTTTATTACCTCATCTGTATGTATCTCTAATAAGTCACATGGTTTATGGCGGAGCACTGTTTCCTCCTACAGACTTATTTATTATGAATACAACAGCCTGCCTCCATGTCTGCCTGCAGGCCAGAAGAGGGCACCAGATCTCATTACAGATGGCTGTGAGCCACCATGTGGTTGCTGGGAATTGAACTCAGGACCTCTGGAGGAGCAGCCAGTGTTCTCAACCTCTGAGCCATCTCTCCAGCCCCCTATCCTGTCTTTGTGAGCCTAAAGTTTTATATGTAACTTATCCTTTATCATAACTAAGGAAAATCTTAACCATAACTATCCTTCTTCAACTCTATCAAAGACCCCAGAAGGTAGCACTTGTATATGTTTTTGTTCAGCTGGTGGACAAAGGCAGGTTACACAGGTGCAAAAATAAATCCTCTTTTGCAACCCAGAACTCATTGCTCAGTATGAGTTTTGATACATACAACAAGAAATGTAAGATAGCAAACAAAGCAAAAACGCCCCATGTCTTGGACTGGTGTTTGCGGGGCTTCGATCGGGACCAGTGGGGGAGTGTGGATGAGAGAAGGCTAGCTATCAGCATTAAAGAAAAGACAGAGACATCAGATCATAGCAGGAGGGCAGCGTCAGTTAATACTGAATGTGCCCAGTTTATTCCCCCATCATGTTAAGTAACCAACCAAAGATGGGGACAATGGCAGAAGACTTCTATGTCATGTATGAAGGGCAGACAGCAATTACTTCCCTTAATCCTAAAGATACTCTTGTGTACATATTCCCTCATGTATCACCTAGCCTTCAGGACAAGTGTAAACTCACCTGGGCCTGGGTCTATTGTCGTTTAGATAGGAGCCATTCATCACCAAGGCCTGCACATCCTGCAGCCATTTAGCTAATATCTTAAAGACAATAGGAGTCGAGGCTCTCTGAACCTGTGGTAGAAAGGAATAGATTTCCAATATATGGGCCCCCAACAGCCCCAGAAGGATGTAATATATAAACTCTAGAATTGACAGAGACATCTTGCTGCCTGGACAGTCACCCAAAGTTCCTCTGTAATGTTGGGGCATCTGGCTGTAGTGGTCTGTGAGGCTGCATGGTCTCAGCTGTCTCGGATGTTGGATCACCTGGGCCACTGCTTCAGGGGGTCTTGTTTGATCAAACCATATTAGCCTGGAAGGAATCCACAGCTTTTTTAATCTTCTATGGAAACAAAAGCAGAATCTCTTTTCCAAAGCAAAATGTCCTTAGAGTTAAATTTTGAAGTCAAGGCACTTTCAAAATATACAAATTGTATTAACCCAGCAGCATTGACAATCAAATGTCTGTTAGCAGCTGCTGCTTCCTCAGCAGTCAAACAATTCAAAGGCAACACAATAGCATCCAATGTTCAAACTCTGCGTATTTTCCATCTTTACGTGACTTTTTAAAAAAATTACTGTATTTCTTTTTTTTCTTTTGTTTTGTTTTTTTGTTTTTTTGAGACAGGCGCGTCCTGAGTGTGCCGCCAACACTCAGTTTATTTCTTTCATTTTTATTTATTTTTATTTTCTTGTTGTTTTTGAGACAGGGTTTCTCTGTTTATCTTTGGTTGTCCTGGAACTCACTCTGTAGAGTAGGCTGGCCTTGAAATCATAGAGATCTGCCTGTCTCTGTCTCTGGAGTGATGGGATTAAAGGCGTGTGCCACCACAGCCAGCTACTCTATTTCTTTTTAAGGGACTTTATCCTTTTTATTTTCTCTCCCAAGCTTACGTGTATTTTTAAACATACTGTAAACCCATTAGAGGTTTTTCTTAATCTGAATCCGTCTTTACTGTATGTCTCTATCTTTTTCTGACCATGAGTCTTTAATCTGCTAAACAGCATGGCTCCCTTTGTCCCATTCCTAGGCTTCTGAGAGAGTCTAGCTTCATGGAGAAGGTATTGGCGGGAGCCATATTTATGGAGGATTCTAGGCAGGGGCTCTGCCACTGAGCCACACCCCCAGCCCCTTACTGGGGGATTCTGGGCAGGGGCTCTGCCACTGAGCCACACCCCCAGCCCCTTACTGGGGGATTCTAGGCAGGGGCTCTGCCACTGAGCCATACCCCAGCCCCTCACTGGGTCATTCTAGGCAGGTGTCTACTGCTGAACCATACCCTCACTGCCCCACTGGGAAATTCCTCTATCACAGAGATACACCCCAGCTCTCTTTTTACTTTTTGTTTTGAGACAAGGTCTTATTAAGTTGACTAGACTCTGCTTGAATGTGCTTTGTTATCAAGCTGAACTAGAACTTGCAATTATTTAGCCCCATCCTCTGGAACAGCTGGAATTCCAGGCCTAAGTCACTAGGCTCAAATTTTGTTTAATGTGATTTTTTTCCACTGAAGTCTGTCTGTCTCCTATGTAAAATCTTGCACCAGAAGCCTGGGGAGATCCTTGTTACCAGGCATTGAAGGCATACAACAGTCTGGCACCACAGAGCCTGCGAGCAGGGTAAGGCGTTTTAGAAGGTATAAAAGTCAGCAAGATGGCTCAGTGGGCAGATGTGCTTGCTGTGCAAGCATGACCATATGAGTCGGGTTCCTGGGACCCGCTTAAAGGTGGAGGTAAAGAATCAACTCCACAAAATTCTCTACAAAGTTGTCCTCTGGTCTCCACCCATGCACTGTCGCATACACATGTCCCCTACATCACACACACACACACACACACACACACACACACACACACACAAATAATGTAAAATAAAAACTTAAAAATAAATAGATGGGGCTGGAGAGATGGCTCAGAGGTTAAGAGCACTGGCTGCTCTTCCAGAGGTTGTGAGTTCAATTCCCAGCAACCACATGGTGGCTCACAACCATCTATGAGATCCGGTGTGTATGGCAGAACATTGTATGCATAATAAATCAATAAATCTTTAAAATAAAATAAAATAAATAGATAGATAGAAGAGAGGCAGAGAAAAAAGAAAGGGAAGGTCTCTGCTTGAAGACATGTAGTGTACCCAGAAAAGACTCTATGGGCACCCTAACATCTCTATCATATGTAACCAGATATGCACCGCCCCCCCACCCCACCCCCCAACTCAGGGCCAGAAAAAACGGATCAGAGTTCAGAAGACAGAACAAGCAAAAGTAGCCAGATGCCGGGCGTTGATGGCGCACGCCTTTAATCCCAGCACTCGGGAGGCAGAGGCAGGCGGAGCTCTGTGAGTTCGAGACCAGCCTGGTCTACAAAGCGAGTTCCAGGAAAGCCTCCAAAACAATACAGAGAAACCCTGCCTCAAAAAACCAAACCAAAACAACAACAACAAAAAAGTAGCCAGATGGCCCAAAGGCAGATTCTTTTCGTTGTTGACACAGGGCCTCTGAATATAGCCCAGGATAGCCTCAGACTTGTAGCAATCCTCCTGCCTCAACTTCCAGGATGCTGGGGTTATGGCCACACACCGGCACACCCATCTTACAGATTAAGTCTTCTCTCCTTAGGTCCCACTGAAACGTGACACCATGAATGTCCACTGCCCGTTGCTCCTCCTGACTCTAGGTAAGGCCCAGGCTGGCACCTGGGTTTGGAGATGTCATCGGGTAATATAGAGAGGGGGTGGATCTGGGGGATGAAGGGGAAGGCAGCGTGCACACACAGATGTGCCCCGACCGCTGTGTGCGCCCCCCCGTCTCCTACTCCCTATGAAAGTTCTCACCTCTCAGTGATGATTTCTGACCAGTGTTGTGGTCTCTAGGACAAGTGGCTTTGTTTGACCCAGCATTGAAATGGGCTGTTGACCACCCCCCAACCCTCTTCGCCTGGGAGGGAGCCTGCATCTGGATTCCTTGCAAGTTCAGAATGCCAACTTACCAAGCCAGACTGCAAGAGGTCTTCCTGTATCACAATTACGACTTTGACAATGATACCAAGAAATTCAAGGGGAGTGTCCTCTATAATAACACCAGGATCGAGTCTTCTCCTTCTGAATATGGAAGGGTGACGTTCATGGGAAACAGAAGAGATAACTGTACCCTGAAAATCCACCCGATACACACCAGTGACAGTGGGAAGCTGGGGTTGAGGATGGTATCAGGTGGCGACAAGTGGATGGAGCCCATTTACCTCAACATCTCCGGTAAGGAAAGCAGCGCCCGTTCCAGCAGAGGCCAAAGGGGAGGTGGAGTTCTGAGCTGCCCTGGGGTACCCATGGCTGAGGCGCCTGTTTAACATATCACAGTGGAAATGCCCCCCAAGCTCTCCCGGCATCCCTCAGTCCCTACCCTCGGCTGCCTTCCCCCAGCCCCGCCCAGAGGCTCTCCCCTATACAACCGCCATTTTGGTCACCCACCCTTTTTATCTTTTGCCGTCTTGACTGCTGCGCCTGGTTCCCCTCTCTCCCCTCTCTCTTCCCCTCCACCTCTCAAGAGGCTCAATGGCTCAGGGTCATGTCACTCTGGGCTCTCCCAGATGTCCCTTCCTCTGGCCATGCTCTCCCTTTTATCTGCAATAAACCTTCTCCACTGTACCCAGGAGCAGCCAAGCCAAGCCCGTTCCTCTTTCTTTCTTTCTTTCTTTCTTTCTTTCTTTCTTTCTTTCTTTCTTTCTTTCTTTCTTCCTTCCTTCCTTCCTTCCTTCCTTCCTTCCTTTTTTTCCCACTCAAAAAGGAGATTTTTTTTCCTTTTTTTTTTTCCCCCAAGACAAGGTTTCCCCATGGCTTTGGAGGCTGTCCTGGAACTCACCCTGTAGACCAGGCTGGTCTCGAACTCACAGAGATCCGCCTGCCTCTGCCTCCCGAGTGCTGGGATTAAAGGCGTGCGCCACCAACACCCGACTTCAAATAGAGATATTGATAGCACTGAGGCCAACTTCAGTGCAAGCATTTGTCTTACCTCAGACATTTTCCCCTCAGGTCTGTTGTCCAGGCCGTCAGTCAGGTTTTTATTATCTATTTATTTATTTATTTACATTTTCCTCTCATGTCTGTTGTCCAGGCTATCAGTCAGGTTTTATTTTTTATTTTTATTTATTTATTTATTTTAGATCTTTCCAAAGAAGACAGAGGTTTGGATTTTCAAATCTCTTTTAGCCTAGATGACCAGAACACAGGGCTCAGTCGCGGCCCATCACCACAGCCGGGGCCTCTGCCCTGGACAGTGTCATCAGTTCATACTGGCGCTATCAAGGCTGTGCATCTTGACGTCTGTGGGGTCATCCAGCCCGGTGGAGATCTGAAACCTGGGCCTCAGGATCACCCCACTAAAGAGAGGTCTGCTTGACTGACTCCAATCCATCGAGGCTGCCAAACAAACACAAGCATGTCAATGCTTAGCAAGACACGCATAACTAAACCAAGGAAATGCGCCCTGGGTGACCCTGGGGCCTTTAGAAAGTAAATGAAAGGAGGAAGTGAAAAGCAAAGTAAATGTAAAATGCCATTTCCCCGGGCTGGAGGGATGGCTCAGAGGCCAAGTGCACCGGCTGCTCTTCCAGAGGTCCTGAGTTCAATTCCCAGCAACCACATGGTGGCTCACAACCATCTGTAATGAGATCTGGCGCCCTCTTCTGGCGTGCAGGCAGAACACTGTATACATAATAAATAAATAAATCTTTAAAAAATACAATTTCCCAGCATGTTAGTGTCCCTGAGGCCTTCCACAGAGAAGCTGAGCCTAACAGGATTCAGCTGTTAGAAATCCTTGCAATGGATTGCTCTGGGGTCACATGGGACAGGATGCCTGATGCCAGCTCCCAGGACTCCTCTCTCTCTCTCTCTCTCTCTCTCTCTCTCTCTCTCTCTCCCCCCAGAGACACCCTTCCAAATCCAGGCATCCTAAAGTGTCCAGGCATTCCTCCAGAGGTGGAAGGCTAGTCCGCACCCCACCCCCAGCTCCCAGGACTCCTCCCCCCTCTCTCTTTTTCCCCAGAGACACCCTTCCCACCTTACATCAAGGTGCCATCAGAAATCCGGGCATCCCAAAGTGTCACTCTGACCTGTGAGCTGAAGTTCGCCTGCTTCGGGTACCCCATTCACTTGGAGTGGTCCCTGAAAGAGCCGGAGGCCACCTCCTTCTCCACCATCACCGTTAACAAGATCTGCACAGAGAGCACACTCACCTTCCAACCGGAGTGGACGGACCACGGAAAGAACGTGACATGCCGAGTCCTGCACGACACCAAAGTGCTCTCCGAGAGCACAGTGTGTCTGGATGTTAAACGTGAGTCTCTGTGGGGGGAGGACACCACCTTGTCATCCTCCTCCTAAACCCTGGTGAGCCCCACCAAGGGCAAGAGGAGTCTGTGTCCATAGAGGGTTCAGCTGTCAGTCACCCGTTACTGGGTGTGGCACAGGCTCTCCCACTGTCTCCTCTGTCTGTCCTGACTCTCAAGACACAGATTCATGTTAGCCTTTGCCTTGACCTGAAAAATAAAGCCGGCTAGCTGAGTGGGGAGATACGGGCCTGGAAATAGGTATTCAGGAAGCATGGAGATATAGGCCTGGAAATGGGTATCCAGGAAGCCAAGGCAGGGGGATCTTGAGTTCGAGGACAGCCTGGGCTACACAGTGAGACACCATCTTGAAAACCTAAGGGCCGGAGTTGTATCCCATTAGTACAGGGCTTGCCTACGTGTGAGATGCTGGGTCAACCTCCAGGAACCCATCAATCAATTTGCAAGCCACAGCATATCCTGAGGATCATTTGGTTAGGGTTCTCTGTCCTCCATACAAGAAAGTTTGCACATCATTATCTTATGCCTCATTCGTTCATTCATTCGTTCATTCATTCATTCTGTCACTCATGTACTCAATGAATATTTACTGTGGAAACTGGCGTGGTGGTACACACTTTTAAATCTAGCCCTCATGAGGCAGAGGTAGGTGGAGCTCTGTGAGTTTGAGGCCAGCCTGGTCTACATAGTGAGCTCTAGGGTATAGTTATACCTTAACAAACAACAACAAACCCTGTGAACTGATTAGGTGCCGGATTCCATCTTGGAGGCCAGCTTAGGCGGAGAACACAGCACTGAGCCAGGTTTTGCCTGTGTGGAGTGAGTGTTGCAATGGAGTAGACACATAAGAAACAGATTAGCTAGGTGGGCATGGGTGGCACACTCCTTTAATCGCAGCACCCGGGAGGCAGATCCAGGTGGATCTCTGTGAGTTCAAGGTCAGCCTGGTCTACAAAGCTAAGCAGAGAAACCCTGACTCGAAAAATCAACACCCCCCCATCCAAAAAGAAAGAAGCAAACAAACAAATTAACTAAGAAAAATAGAGCAGAATTGCCAAGAATATTACTACATAATCCACTATTTAAAAATTTTAAACTTTTATTGTTATGTGTATGGGTGTTCTGCCTGGACGTATGTCTGTACATCACTTGTATGCATGGTGTCCATGGAGGCCAGCAGGAGAAGTTGAACCCTCTGGAACCAGAGTTACGGGCTGTTTTGAACATCCATGTGGGTACTGGGAATTGAACCTGAGTCCTCTGGAAGAACAGCCCATGGTCTTAACTAATGGGCTATCTCTCCAACCCCCATAATACTTTTTTTTTTCCCGAGACAGGGTTTCTCTGTGACTTTGGAGCCTGTCCTGGCACTTGCTCTGTAGACCAGGCTGGTCTCGAACTCACAGAGATCCACCTGCCTCTGCCTCCCAAGTGCTGGGATTAAAGGTGTGCGCCACCAACGCTCAGCATACTTTCTTTTCTTTTTTTGGGTACTGGAGATGGTCTGGTGGTTAGGAGCGTCTACTGCTCTTGCAGAGGATCTGAGTTCAGTTCCCAGCACCCACATCAGGCAGCTGACAACTGCTTAGAACTCCAGCTCCTCAGGATCTGAGGCCTCTAGCCTTTCCGACACCAACATACACAATTAAAAGAAAACGAATCATTTAAAAAAAAGTACTTGCCTTACAAGAATGAGGACTTGAGTTTGAATCCTAGAACTCACACTTAAAAAGTTGAGTGTAAGCCGGGTGTGGTGGCCGCACACCTTTAATCTCAGCCCTGGGGAGGCAGAGGCAGATGGGTTTCTGAGTCCAAGGCCAGTCTGGTCTACAGAGTCCCAGGATGGCCAGGGTTACGTAGAGAAACCTTGCTTGGAGGAAGAAGAGGAAGAGGAAGAGTTAGAGGAAGAAGAGGAAGAAAAACAAAACAAAACAAAGTTGAGTGTTCAGGCAATGTGTCTGATGTCTCAGCACTGGGGATGCAGAGCCAAGTGGATCCTTGGGACATCCTGGCCAACCAGACTAGTCTCACTGATGAACTCCAGGCCAGTGGGAGACCCTGTCTCAAAACACGGGAAGTCAAGATGCGGGCAGTTCCTGAAGCGCAAGACCCAAGGCTGTCCTCTGACCTCCATGTCCACATGCGAGCACAAAAATACCTCAAAAAAGAAAAAAGAAAAAAAAAGCAGGGTGATGGATGGAGACTTCTGTGAAGAAGGTGAAGACCTTGGCTGACGTGACACAGGGACTAGGACAGGCAAAGAAGAGTCTAAGGAACAAGTGGGATTCTCAGAACAAGCTGCAAGGTGCTGAGGGGCAAGCATAGCATACCCACCGCAGTGTCGGAGGATGGGCGAGCATAACGTACCCACTGCAGTGTCCAAGGATGGGCAAGCATAGCGTACCCACCGCAGTGTCCGGGGACCAGAGAGAACAATGTGCCAGGCCCCTCCTGAGCTAAGAGGAAGCAGGACACCGGGTCTCCTGGAGCCCAGGGGACAGCTTGGGAGTCAGTCTCTGACAACGCTAGGAATGCTGTGGGGAGCTGGTGCAGACCACGTGGTAGGGGAGGAAGGGGGAACAGAGGGACAGTGAGGGACTGTGGCCGTCACCTCAGTGGACAGAGGAGCCACGGATGGGCAACCTGCTGCTGTCCGCATGAGAACGGGCACCGAGAATCCCCTGTCCCCTCTCCCCCTGCTCCTCTGTTCCCACAGACACCCCGCAGCTCAAGATGGAGGTCAGTCCCAGAGAAGTGATGAAGGGAGACTCTGTGACCATGACGTGCCAGGTTGTCAGCAGCAACCCCAAATACGGGACAGTGTCCTGGTTCAAGGATGGGCACCGCCTGCAGGAAAAGACCCTCACCCTGACCCTGCACGATGCCACCAAGGACATGACCGGGAAATACCGCTGCAGGGTTTCCAATGACTTGGGTCCGGGACAGTCGGAGGAAGTGGCCCTCACGGTGCTGTGTGAGTTGCCTTGAAGCTGGCAAGGGGGGTGGGGAGTTAGCAGGACCCTTAAGGGATGATAAACAGAGGCTCCCGCGCCTGCCCGCCCCGGGGGTTTTCAGGGCTCTGCTCACCTGCCCCCGTGACCTCTGTGGCTTCTTTCAGTCGCCCCGGAACCCTCCAAGGTTCACATCTACCACCCGCCCGCTGAAGAGGGACAGCCAATCGAGATGATTTGTGAGTCAGCGGCCAGCCCGAGAGCAACAAACTATACCTGGTACCACAACAGAGAGGTGGTGGCCGGAGAGATACAAGAGAAGCTCAGGATCCCCAAAGTCTCCCTGAGGCATGCTGGCACTTACTCTTGCTTGGCAGAGAACCGCCTGGGTCGTGGACAGATGGACGAGGAAGCTGAGCTGGACGTCCAGTGTGAGCGGCCACCTGACCTCTGGTTCCAGGAGGAGAGAGGGAAATGGGGAAGGAAGGAAAATAGGGTGTGGGGGTGGGAAAGATAACCAGGGACATGCAGACCAGAGCCTTGGCCTGTGTAGTTATTGAGTAGATGTTCGTTGGATGGATGGATGGATGGATGGATGGATGGATGGATGGATGGATGGATGTCACCAGCCTGGTGGCCCAGATCTGTCACCCCAGCTCCTGGGGGAAGCTGAGGCAAGGGTCACAAGTGTGAGGTCTGCCTGGGCTCCAGAGTGTGTTCAAGGTCAGCCTAGGCCACTTAGCAAGACTGTCTCAAAAGTAGAAAGAGGACCTAGGATGCCATTCATTGACAGGATACTTCCCTACAACATACCAGGAAGGTCCGGACTGGCAGGGTGGATCAGCAACCAAACACTAGAATGAATCTCCCAGTGAGGGGCTGGGGGTGTGGTTCAGTGGTAGAGCCCCTGCCTGGAATCCCCCAGTGAGGGGCTGGGGCGTGGCTCAGTGGTAGAGCCCCTGCCTGGAATCCCCCAGTGAGGGGCTGGGGTGTGGTTCAGTGGTGGAGCCCCTGCCTAGAATCCCCCAGTGAGGGGCTGGGGCGTGGCTCAGCGAGTGGAGTGCTTAGCACTGGGGTCAATCCCCAGCACTGCATAAAAGAAACGAATGTGGCACGTAAGACAGGAAGGCAGGAGCATCATAAATTCAAGGTCATCTTAGCTCCATAGCAAGTTCAAGGCCAACCTGAGCTATGTGAGACCCTGCCTACTATTTGGGCTTCACGGGGACAGGAAGGCACAGCATCCGCAGCAGCAGGTGAGGCCCTGAAGAAGTCCTGAAGTGTCGAGCTAGCCCGCCATTGTTTGGCATTTCTTAGCACAGCACAGTTTCTCCCAGGACAAGGGACTCGACTGTTGGACACCGAGGGGCTTGCGTACAGATGGGGCATCCACACCCTGAACATCTAGACAGGGAGGCGTGTTGTTTGTGGCACACCACCGGCTGGGAGGGTTCCGGACGGTGGGTGTTCTTGGTGCCCCATTCCGCAGACGGGTAGATGGAGGCTTGCAGCCCACACAGTCACACAGTTCTAAGCAGCGGAAGAGGCTTCATTCGGGGGCGGCGTGCAAAGGCTTGAATGAAAACCAGTCTGGCAGCTGGTTCAGGGTGGTGGTGCAGAGTCCAGACATCTCGGCTACACCGGAGGCTAAGGAGGGGGTGATCACAAGTTCAGGGCTGGCCTGCGGAGATGAGCAAGACCCCGACTCAAAAATAAAAAGGTTAAGAAAAATGGGGGGGGGCTAGAGATGTGGCCCAGTGGCAGAGCTCTCGCCTAGCTGTACGAGGCCACGGATTTGCTCTCTGCTACTGCAAAGGGGGACAAGAGTGACCATGCTTTCCCACCCCTCTGCTCTACTCTAAGATGCCCCCAAGATGGTGACCACGGTGGTTCAAAGCTCCACACCCATTCGGGAAGGGGACAGCGTGACCCTGGCCTGCAGGTACAACTCCAGCAATCCTGAAGTCACCTCCTACCAGTGGGACCCTGCGGGTCCTGGGAATCAGATGGCGCCCGGGGTGCTGAGGATGGAGAAAGTGACGTGGGACTCCAGGCCCATCCGCTGCGCTGCCTGTAACCACCGGTGTTCGTGGGCCTCCCCGGTCAGCCTGGATGTCCACTGTGAGTGACAGGGAAAGGCGTGCCCATGAGGGGGACCGCCCTGAAATGTGGCGAGGGGAGGGTGAGCGGATGGGAGCCCGGACCCGGGCCGCCATGGCCGAGGAGCCAGGAGGTCCTGACCCATGAAACAGGAACCCCTAAAAGGGATAGGGAGCCCTAATCAAGGGCATAGGGCATTTCGGGGAGACATCAGGAAGGTCAGAGAGTCAAATCCTCATCCGAGACCGTGGCCCTGCAGATGCCCCCAAAGCCGTGAGGGTCCTGCAGGTGAACCCCAGGTCATCCGAGATCCGTGCTGGCCAGAGCGTTCTCCTCCAGTGCGGCTTCTCCCGGAGCCACCCTGCAGAGGTCCACTTCTTCTGGAAGAAGAATGGGAGTTTTGTGCAGGAAGGGAGGGACCTGAGCTTCAGCTCCGTCTCCCCAGAAGATTCGGGAAGTTATAGCTGCATGGTCAGCAACTCCATTGGAGAAACCCTGTCGGAGACCTGGGACCTCCGAGTGCTGTGTGAGTGGCTGGAGCGGGGGTGGAGGGGTGGGAGGGGCTAGGTGTGAAGACCTGGAACCCTGGCCTGACTCGGTTTCCCCGTGGCAGATGCTCCTCGGAGGTTGCGCGTGTCTATTAGCCCTGGGGACAGCGTAATGGAAGGGAAGAAGGCTACCTTGTCCTGCGAGAGTGATGCCAACCCTCCCGTCACTCAGTACGCCTGGCTTGACTCTAGTGGCCAAGACCTCCACTTCTCGGGCCCCAGGCTGAGACTAGAACCCCTGAAGGTCCAGCACACCGGCTCGTACCGCTGCCGAGGGATCAACATGCTAGGCACGGGCGAGTCGCCGCCCAGCACCCTCACTGTCTTCTGTGAGTCCCCTTCCTCCCTTGGGTCCTGCCTCTGTCCTGGTGACTGCGGCTCCTTTCCCATGTACCCTCAGCCTGGGTGCCCCCCCCCCCCCCCCGGGACCGAAGTCACCCTGTCCTGCCCCACAGGCCCGTCTTCTCCTGAACCCTGCCTTCCAGAACCTCCTTGTCTCTCAGTCGCCTCCCTTCTCTCCTCCCCGCTATGTGTGTATCTCCCCCTTGATGAATAAGATCCTTATTTATCTTTTGATAGTTTAGCGTTTTAAACGAGGTAACACAGTGCAAGGTTGCCAGGCGTTGGTGGCGCACGCCTTTAATCCAGCACTAGGGAGGCAGAGGCAGGCGGATCTCTGTGAGTTCGAGACCAGCCTGGTCTACAGAGTGAGTTCCAGGACAGCCTCCAAAGCCACAGAGAAACCCTGTCTCGGAAAAAAAAAATACAGTGCAAGGTTTTAAAAAACGGTTTCAAGCACAAAAAAGAAGTTGAATACAGGTGCTTTAGAGACTGAAGTGGGGATATCCCCAGAACACCAGGGCAGCCTGGGCTACATAGAAATACTACCTCAGAACAAAACAGCGCTGTCTCCCTCCCGCAGCAAACCCACCCATGCTCTTTTTGTTTGTTTGATAGGGAGTCTTCCTGGGCAGCTCAGGTTGGTCTTGAACTCCAGGCAATCCCCCTGCTCAAGCCTCTTGAGTGTTGGGACTACAGGGATGAATCACCATGCCCACATTGTCCCTGACTCTTGCAAATGACCATAGCCCATCGCATCTCTCCAGCACGCTCTTCAAGGTGGAGGAGCGCCTAGCCATTGCTGGGTGCATGCTTGCAAAGACAAGTATTGTGTGGAGTTGGGTCTGCCTGGGCGCACTTTAAGTTCTGGCTGTCTGACCAAACTGCTCTCAGGGTCCCAAGGATCACACACAGGCTTTGTTTGTGACCTGTCCACGAACTAACTCTTGCTGGGGACAAAGAGCTGGCCCTTCTCTCCTACCGGGTGTGAGGAGGCAGGGGCCACTTCTCGATCTTTCTCTGCATCACTCCACCGTTTGCGGAGGAGCTCGGCAGGTCAGAAAGACCAGGCTTTGCGTAGGGAGAAGGACGGGACTCTCTACCCGTCGCCATCTCTACACGGCAGAGCGAACCATTATCTCCTTCCTCACCAGACAGCCCAGAGACCATCGGCAAGCGGGCTGCATTGGGACTAGGGTTCTGCCTGGCTATCTGCATCCTGGCTATCTGGGGCATGAAATTCCAGAAAAAGTGAGCTGTCCCCTGACCTGGCCCCTCCCCACAGCCCTCAGCCTGATGGGCCATCCCCACCTACCCTCAAACTCTTGATCCTCAGGTGGAAACGTAATCAGAGCCAGCAGGGGTTTCAGGAAAATTCCAGTGGCCAGAGCTTTTTCGTAAGGAATAAAAAGGTAAGACGGAGCCCAGTGATGGTGGTGGCAGCAGCGGCGCACGCCTTTAATCCCAGCACTAGGGAGGCAGAGGCGGGTGGAGCTCTGTGAGTTCAAGACCAGCCTGGTCTACAGAGCGAGTTCCAGGACAGCCAAGACCACACAGAGAAACCCAGTCTCAAAAAAAAAAGGGGGGAAGAAGGTGAACCCAGAGTAGCCCTTGAAGACAAGAGGTAAGAAGAGGGCATGAATACTCTGAGGATTCACGGGCATCTGCAGTCTCAGTGATCGAGAAGATAAGTCAGGAGAATGGCAAACTTGAGGCCAGCTTGGGTTACCCATTGTAAGATCCTGTTGGAAAAAGCAAAATAAAACAAACAAACAAACCATAAACCTCCAGGGAGTTGTTGGGGCCAAAGGCCAGGAGAAAGGAATGTTCAGGGGAGTCACCGCTGCAACTTTGCCCCTCCCAGGTTCGAAGGACCCCGCTGTCAGAAGACCCCCAGCCCCAGGGCTGCCACAACCCCATGATGGATGACAGCGTCAGCTATGCCATCTTGCGCTTTCCAGAGACTGACGCGCCCAGAGCCGGGTACGGAGCGTGCTGGCATTTGGTACCTGTGGCTCAGGAGGGGTGTGGGTGGAAAACCCCATGCCCCTCCTGTTCTCTTGGGGCCAGGCAGGCCCATTACATCATCCTTGCTACCTGACACCTTCCGATGGGGGGGCCCTTCTCTTTAGCTCAGAAGCGGGTTTCCCAAGCCAGGCCGTGTCTGTCACAGGTTGAGCACATTGTGAGGTGTACCGGCTGTTTGCATTACCCGATGCTGTGGTGCTGAGCTCACAAGAGAGAAGGTGTTTTCCCTAAGTGGCTGAAGTCGGGGCGCTGATGGGGAAAGCCCACATAGAGACCTCTCCTCTTCTCTCTCTCTCTCTCTCTCTCTCTCTCTCTCTCTCTCTCTCTCTCTCTCTCTCTCTCTCTCTCTCTCTCTGTCCCTCTCTCTCTCAGTGATGCAGGGTCCTCAGGCACTCCGGGTCCTCCTCCGAACAACGACGACACGGTCACTTACTCAGTGATACAGAAGCGTCACATGGTAAGCGGGCAGAGCTACAGGAAGCTGGGGGACCTGGGGCCCCGACTGAGAGCCCCCCCACAGGACACACTTGCCAGACAGTGAAGGTGGGGAGGGTGACGGTCCCAAGTCCCTTCTCCGCTGCTGTAATCGAATACCCATGGTGGTTCATTAAGGGAAGAGATGTGTTTTGGCTTATGGTTGGTTCTGGAAATCCAAGACAACATTCACGGCCGGGGAAGGGGGGGCTATGTCAGAGAGAACCCAACTTCTTAAAAAAATAAAATAAAATAGCCGGGCGTTGGTGGCACACGCCTTTAATCCCAGCACTCAGGAGGCAGAGGCAGGCGGATCTCTGTGAGTTCGAGACCAGCCTGGACTACCAAGCGAGTTCCAGGACAGCCTCCAAAGCCACAGAGAAACCCTGCCTCGAAAAACCTAAATAAATAAATAAATAAAATAAAATAAATGATATCTGCATTGTTATCTATTAATCCATCAATCGAACCACCTCTTGCAGATCCCACAATCCATGCATTCCTGACACTCAGAACTCGGGGGACACGTTCAGACCACAGCAGTTGTTCAGGCAGAGACCTGGGGTGGGCGCCAAGGTGTCTAAGGGGCAGAGCATAGCCATGTGTAGACAAGATGACCCCGTTTGGTCATTCGGGCCCCAGGCAGTGGGGGGACTAAGAGGATGGGTGGAGGTTGGCCACCGTGAGGCCTGGCTTACTGTCACATGCTTCGCAGGGCGACTATGAGAACGTGACTCCAAGCTGCCCTGAGGACGACAGCATCCACTATTCGGAGCTGGTTCAGTTTGGGGCCGGGAAGCGGCCTGAGGCGAAGGAAGACGTGGAATATGTGACCCTCAAGCACTGATGTTGGAAGCAGCTGCAGTGGAAGGTTCTGGAAACCGAGGAAGACCTGTAACTTTGGCCAGTGCGGTTCAGCTGCTGAGTCACTGTGACTTCTAAGGCACACACATGGGTGTGCACGCCCGTCCAATCATTTAAAGACCTGTGTCTGGCCAGAGACAGTCTTCCCTGTACTGATAGCTGTTACCCCACACGGTACGGCGCCCCCTTCTCCAAGCCCAGCCATCTGCCACCACCCGCCTCGTGCTGAGCCTCAGTTCAGCTGGATGTGTTCCTGCTGGGATCGGCTGGGACCGTCACTGTCATTTCTTCTTCTCTGTCCCCGTGATGCTCCGCCCCTCACTCACTGATCTTATTACCCTGTGTCTGGCCCTGGAAAGAAATCCCCGGGAAGGGCAGGACTTAGGAAGCCAGAGCTGCTGTTCCCAGCTGGCTTTTCTCCTTCAAATACACCTACCAGTAAGTCAGGCCTTCCCTCAGGGGTCTTGGGAACTTAGCAGGTAGGACAGCATGGGCCTGTGCATAATCCACCAAATGCTTCATAATAAAGATGGCACACATGCCACCTGGACTCTTTCCCTTTGGTGACTGGTGTAATTATACTGGAAACCTGGAGAGGGAGTGGCTTGTTGGAGCTTGGAGGGAGGGAAAGAGACTCAGGGTAATCTCATGATCAGATCAGTAGATGGGGGTACCACTGTCATGTAGTGCTGGTATTGAACTTAGGGCTTCAAGCAGTGTTGGTGTTAAACTTAGAACCATGTCCTCAGCCCCTCACTGGGGGATTCTAGGCAGGGGCTCTACCACTGAGCCACACCCCAGCCCCTCACTGGGGGATTCTAGGCGGGGGCTCTACCACTGAGCCACATTCCCAGCCCCTCACTGGGGGATTCTAGGCAGGGGCTCTACCACTGAGCCTGGCCCCCAGCTCCTCACTGGGGGATTCTAGTAGTTTGAGTACTCAGTCGTGCTTCTAGCCTCTGATTTATTTTGAAACAGTATTTGAACTCACTCTGTAGCTCAGGCAGGCTTTGAACTTACAGTCCTCCTGCCTGAGCCTCCCAAGTAGCTGCCTGCACCACCAGGTTCTGTTACTCGTGTTGCTGGGAAAACATACTGACCTTGCATCTGGGCAAGTATTAGCTTGCATCTTGATTTTTTTTTTTTACATCCCAATCTCAGTTTCCCCTCCCTCCTCTTCTCCCAGTCCCTTACCCCCCACCTCCCCTCTGGCTCCCTCACCTACCCCTCACATTTTTCTCTCTATGAAAGGGCAAGGCTCCCAGAGATATCAACCAAACATGGCGTATGAAGCTGCAGTAAGACTAGGCACCTCCCCTCAGATCAAGGCTAGACAGTGCAACCCAATATGAGGAAAAGGCTCCCAAAAGCAGGTAACGGAGTCGGAGACAGCCCCCGTCCCCATGGCTGTGAGTCCCACGGTATCTTGATTCTTAACTAGCTGAGTGCTCTTCAAAGTTTTCCAATGTAACTGAGCCTCAGTTTCTCCAAGATGGAGATGTCTGTCATTCTCTGCTACATATGTGGCTCAAGGAGGTGAAGGTCAGTCTCAATTCAACAGAGTAGCATTTAGAAGCCAAGGCTAGCCCTGGTCTACAGGGTGAGTTCTAGGACAGCCAAGGCTACACAGAGAAACCCTGTCTCAAAAAAACAAACAGACAAACAAACGAAAAAGAAGACGAAGAAGCCAAGTGAAGCCGGGCATTGGTGGCGCACGCCTTTAATCCCAGCACTCGGGAGGCAGAGGCGGGCAGGTCTCCATGAGTTCAAGGCCAGCCTGGTCTACAGAGGGAGAGTTCCAGGACAGCCAGGGCTACACAGAGAAACCCCTGCCTCAAACAAAAAGCCAAGTGCAGAAGGCAAAACTCCCAAATCCTCAACTCCAAATTCCATCTTTACATTTCGTGAAGAGTAGTATAAGGAGGGGGAAAAAAGTTAGGTGTTGTGGTCCAATCCCGTAATACCAGAACTGGGAAGACAGACAGGGAGATAGGAGGCCAGCCTGGGATACATAATGAGATGCAGGCTCAAAGACGACAGCAAAGAAATAAGGGGAAGTGGGTTCGCCCTCACAGCTGTTCTCAACAGGGAACACCACCCAGAGAAACAGCGCAGACCTCCCCAGTTCAACGCCGGCTCTGCTGATCAAAGGTCCCAGGACTCCATCCGCCTGTTTGTCTGCTCAACCAACCACCGAGGCCAGGAGCACCCAACTCCCGGCACACCAGAGGTCCCCAGAAGGGTTCCGTTCCTTCCCTCCCTCCCTTCTCATCCTTCCCAGTGCCAGAGCATGGCATGCAGTCCCTCTTTGTCCCCAAATTTATTTTCTGTGAGCACCATCAACTTCTCTGGGGGCCAGTGGGACTTTGCATGCCATTTCAACAGAGCTGAGGAGGTGGCACAGAGGTCACAGGCACCTGTCCCTGAACCTGATGACCTGAGTTTGATCTCCAGGACCCACATGGTGGAAGGAGAGAAATGACTCCCCCAGAAGGTGTCCTCTGACTGCTACATGCGCGCTCACATGCGCGCGCATGCACACACACTCACACACACACACACACACACACACACACGCTCACATGCGCGCGCATGCACACACACACACACACACACACACCTATTTGGAGTATCTCAGCAGTTAGGAATGTTTGATGCTTTTCAGAGTCATTTCTCCGGGTGCCCCCATTTTTTACATTTAAATAAAAGAAAACACTTTAAATGAGAGCAAGGTTTTAGGCATTTTTATGCCCACAATGAAGTCCAGCAATGTTCAACTACTAATAAACTAATCAATATATATGACAAGAATTTAGTGAATTCGCCGGGCGTTGGTGGCACACGCTTTTAATCCCAGCACTCGGGAGGCAGAGGCAGGTGGATGTCTGTGAGTTCGAGGCCAGCCTGGTCTACAAGAGCTAGTTCCAGGACAGCCTCCAAAGCCACAGAGAAACCCTGTCTCAAAAAAAAAAAAAAAGAATTTAGTGAATTTAAATTTGCCATTCTGGGGGTGGAAACTTGGCTCAGTGGGTAGAGTGCTTGCCTCGTATGCACGAATCCCCGGGTTCTATACCCAACACTGCATAAAGAGGGGCACCGTGTTGCTGCCTGTAGTCTTAGCATGGAGGAGCAGAGAGTGTAGGACAGGAAGTTCAAGTCATGCCCCACCACACAGCAAGTCTGAGACCAGCCTGGGCTGCTTGAGGCCTCATCTCAAAATAAAAACAACAACAATAAAACAGAAACCCACATCTGGCAGAGCCCCTTGCTAGGGTGCAAGAATTGTAATGCAGGAACCAGTCTCATGAGGCTGTCAATCAAGTCTGGGGTCTCCAAAGACCTCCAAGGGCAAGGTCTTCTCGAGGGAGCAGAAGGCAGCCCTGAAACTGATGAGGTCAGGATTCGGCTTCCTGGCAACCATCAGGTACCTGCTTATCCTGTCCCCAAGTCCAGCTGCCAATATAAAGCTCCTTCATGACCCATTGACCACAAGATGTAGATGTCAACAGCCTTGCTGAGGCGTGAAGAACAGGTGGCCAGGAAGCCCAGAGGCCTAGGCTCCAGAGCGCCAGAGCCTTCCACCTTAGAATAAGCAATTCTCTTGGGACCAGAGCACCTTGGGGCCCCATGCACTGGGCAAGACAGACCTTGGCACTCACGAGGCCACCTTTAACAGAGATAGCAGACACCGGGTCACACAGCTGGAGGAACGCTGAATGACCCAGCCACCAAGAAAACTGCTTAGGGAAGATTATGGGTCCTCAGTGAAAAAACATCGCCGCATAGGATTTAGACCAGAACAGCCAGGTGTGTATGTAGGTAAAACAGAAATTAAAGATAAATTATGGGCTGGGTGTTGGTGGCGCACACCATTAATCCCAGCACTCGGGAGGCAGAGGCAGGCGGATCTCTGTGAGTTCGAGGCCAGCCTGGTCTATAGAGTAAATTATGGGTTTGGGGATAGAAACCAGGGTATTGTGTAAGCTAGGCAAACACTCAACCACTGAGCCACACTCCCAGCCCCTCACTGGGGGATTCTAGGCAGGGGCTCTACCACTGAGCCACACCCCAGCCCCTCACTGGGGGATTCTAGGCAGGGGTCTACCACTGAGCCATTTCTCCAGCCTTTCATCAGTTTTTATTCTGAGACAGTGTCTCGGGCTGAATTTGCATTCACTCTGCAGCCCAGGTTGGTCTTGAACTTGTGATCCTCCTACATCAGCTTATAGAACAGCTGGCATCACAGGTTGCAACACCAGGCTTAGGCCACCGAGCGATTCTTTTACTGTCAATCTATGAATGGCAGCATGAGCCTACTGAAACCTTTAGAATGCCTCTTTTGTTGTTACCTAGAAGTGAGTCGATAAAGCAAGGGGCCCTCCCGTGAGCTCATCCAGTACTGGGGTGGATCCAGCTTCCCGTGGGGTTTGAACAGGCAGTGAGCGAGTCAGGAGGGCACAATGCCGCGCCCATAAACCCTGCCTCTTTAAGGTCTTCAGCCAAGCTATCCTATCCTTCCTCTGCACACCCTCGCCTCCTGCGGACCGGCACAGAACGCTCCATCAGCTGCTCATCCAGGCTGCTAGAACCTCCCGCTAATGGCCACCCCGCCCCTCTCCCTCTTCCAGCTCACTGCCCATCCTGGGCATCACCTAATAGCCCTGCGAGGGGACTCCTGAGCCTCAGAGGCATCCAGCAGTACCAGGAGGTGAGTCCCGTTTCTCGAAGGCTCCTGTCCTCCCTGGGTTCCTGTACCAGGATGTTCCTGAGGTGTGACATACCGATGGGAACTGATTGGTCTTGGGGACAATCCCCTTACCATCCCCCTACCATCCCCCTCCTCCCCTTTGCCTGCCTCTCCCTGTCTGATATAGCTAGTGTCCAACAGACACTGATCTCTCTGTCTCTGCCTCTGTCTCTCTTTCTCTCTCTCTCTGTCTCTCTCTCTCTCTGTGTCTCTGTCTCTCTCTCTGTGTGTGTGTGTGTGTGTGTGTGTGTGTGTGTGTGTGTGTTTCTAGCTCTCTCTGTCTCTGAAACAGTGCCTCACTATGTATCTCTGGCTGTCCTGGAACTCCATGTGTAGACCAGGCTAGCCTCAAACTCATAGAGATCTTCCTGCTTCTGCTGGGATTGAAGACGTGTGTGTCGCCACGCCTGGTTCTTCTCTTTTTAGAAATCTGTGAGTGTGTACAGAAGCCAAAGCAGTGGCTGTAACTGGGGCTATAGATGGCTGTGAGGGGACAGATGATGGGTGACCATTCCCTCCTTGGGTCTCGTGAAAGCCGCGTGCGCTCTTAACTGCTGAGCCTTCTCCTAGGCCCTGATTTCTCTAGTGAAGGTTTTTTCCTATTGAGGGCATAGGGCAGCTCTGGTCGTGGAGTAAGGGACAGGGAGTGAACTACGGGGTCTCTGACATACATGCAGCCTGGCTCTGACCTCCCTCTGTCCCCTCCCCCCCTAGGAGTCTACGGGAGCAGAGGCCCGCCTCGGCTCTGGAACCTTCTATCTTTTCCTGTTACGCCGACTTGTTATCTTCACCCTAAGAGGCGGTACTGTGGAGGGGACAGCTGGGGACTGCGAGGACTGCTCCCGGCTCTGTGGCTCTCCAGCCACCATCTCCTCCTGTGAGCCTCCGCAGCATGCGTCCTCAGTGGCGCTAGGACTGCCTCCTGGTGCTCTGGGCAGTTGGGACGCTGGCATGGGGTTCAAGCACCGTTTCCCCCTCCGCTGACGTGCCAGTACTGTAGCAGCCAACACCCGCCCAGCCCCATGGCCCTGTCTCCCCAACTCTTCTTCGCCCTCTATGTGTCTGCCTTCGCGCTGGGCTTCCCGCTGAACCTGTTGGCCATCCGAGGCGCCGTGGCCCGTGCAAGGCTGCGGCTCACCCCCAACCTGGTCTATACACTCCACCTGGCCTGCTCTGACCTGCTCCTGGCCATCACGCTACCCGTGAAGGCCGTGGAGGCCCTGGCTTCTGGGGCCTGGCCCCTGCCGCTCCCCTTGTGCCCTGTCTTTGTCTTGGTGCACTTCGCCCCACTCTATGCGGGCGGAGGCTTCCTGGCGGCTCTCAGTGCTGGCCGCTACCTGGGGGCTGCCTTCCCCTTCGGGTACCAAGCCGTTCGGCGGCCCCGCTACTCCTGGGGCGTGTGTGTGGCTATATGGGCCCTTGTCCTCTGCCACATGGGGCTGGTCCTCGGCTTGGAGGCTCCCGGAGGCTGGCTGAACACCACCAGCAGCTCCCTGGGAATCAACACACCGGTGAATGGTTCCCCGGTGTGCCTGGAAGCCTGGGATCCCAACTCTGCCCGGCCTGCCCGCCTCAGTTTCTCCATCCTGCTCTTCTTCGTGCCCCTGGTCATCACCGCCTTCTGCTACGTGGGCTGCCTGCGGGCTCTGGCCCACTCGGGCCTGAGCCACAAACGGAAGCTCAGGGCAGCCTGGGCGGCCGGAGGGGCCTTTCTCACACTCCTGCTCTGCTTGGGGCCCTACAATGCCTCCAATGTGGCGAGTTTCGTAAACCCGGACCTGGGAGGCTCCTGGAGGAAGCTGGGGCTCATCACAGGGTCCTGGAGTGTGGTACTCAACCCGCTGGTCACCGGTTACTTGGGAGCAAGTCCTGGCCGAGGGACAGTATGTACGACAAGGACTCAAGGAGGAACAATTCAGAAGTAGCAGGCGCCTCTGGGGGCAAAGGGCGGTTGAGCGGATTTGGATGACTCTGCCGGGCCCCCAAGAGGGCTGCTCCGCCACAATCGTGGCCCAAAGGCATCACAGAAACCACTCACAGGAAGGGCCACACCTGGAGAGGACGGTGTCCTTGTACAAAAGAGACTGGAGCTCAAGAGCTGGGGGACGGGGGACAGTACACCTGCCTGATACATCTCAGCTTGCCTCCTAAGCTTCTGACCCTTATGTCCTAACCACCCGCCTGCCGTAGGCTGTGCGCAGCCCTGCACTCCTGAGGATGGATGAGGAAGAGGCTTTGCGTCTGATCAGGGGAAACACCACCACAGTGACCCAATTTGGGAGCGTTTCCCTGAAATAATTTCTGAGGGAAAAGAACAGTTTTCATTTCCGAAGAAAGGAAAACGGCATCATGACGCTGCCGTACCCCTTCGAGCCCACTAGAGGGCAGCACATTCGAGTTGACGGCAGAAAGCAAGCCCGAGAGATGCTGGGGCTCAAGGCAGGCAGCAGAGGCAGCTTCTAACCGTGGGGGGTGTCTCCTCAAGCCAGCTGTCTCCTTTCATTCTCATGGAGTCATCCCGAGTAGAGTAGCCCGAGTAGAGTAGTGTGTGTGTGTGTGCGTGCGTGTGTGCGTGCGCACGTGTGTATTACTGAAGTTAGAACCCACAGCCTTGCACCTTGCTAGGCAAATGCTCTACGGCTGAGCTATGTCCCCAGCTACCACCCCCCTTCTGTTTTAACAGAGTTTAGGCGTGGTAGTAGCCAGGTTGGTCTTGAACTTGTGGCCTCAAGCGACTTCCCCTGCCTCAGTCAACAGAGAAGCTAAGGCTGTTGGCACAGGCTACGGTCGCCCAGCTCACACAGCCTGTGGATTCAGCCAGGTGCCTGCTGTTTTGGACGGGCAGGTTTGCGTCAGACACAGCGCCCAGCAGAGGGAGCCAACACCAATAAGACTCTGTGGCCTGTTTGCTGGGCCAGCCATGGGCAGCCTCTGTTCTGATTGGAGCAGACAACAGACAGGCTCCTCCAGCATCTCTGTGGTGCAAGGAAAGCTTGTGGCGTCAGCTGCATTGGTGGTTCATTCGGAGAAGAGGAGCCACACCCAGCCCGCGAGAGGGAGGGCAGAGGAGGGTGGCCGTGAAGGAGACAGGCACTTATGCACCTCCGATGAGGCCAGGTGTCAGAGTCAAGCTTATTCTTCTCGTGACAGCAAAGCCTCCAAAGAGTGACAGATAGCATAGTGCCCAGAGGGCTTGGACTGGTTCATACAAGTCATCTCTTTGGGCAAGTGGGTCTCTGGATGTTCAAAGCCAGCCTGGCTTACAAGGTGAGCTCCAGGACAGCTAGGGCTATATAGTGAGACCCCCATATCACAAAAAAAAAAAAAAGAGGAAACTATCTCCTTGTAGCCTTAAATGTGTTTGAGCATAAGGGTTTTTGAACAGTAGATCCACCACACTTAGAAGAGAGACCAGCCCATAGCAGGTGCTCAGCAAACATTTGCCAACTCCTGATCTCTTGGCCAAAGAAAATTTGGTATTACTTATTTGGTAAATATATCAAAGTGGATGCTACCAGTTCTCCCAGCATCCCTCAGTACCCGTGGCTCCTCCCAGCATTCCTCACCCCGCCCCCTACCTTAAACCTCTCCTCCCGCCCCCAAAGTGTTTAGAACCTCTGTTCCCACTGTCCTAGAGCACCTGTTGGGGGTGGGGCCCACTGCCCGGGTCACCTGGGCTTCCTTCCACTCAGGGGCCAGTCTGCTCCCTTACCCCGGCCCATGGGGCTTGCTCTATCTGATCCACTCCGGCTTCCTCCATCAGGCTCACCCCCCTCGCCCAGCCAGATGTCTTGATCATGCACCCCCCCACCCCCCACCCCCCACCCCAGGAGATGGGGCTTTCTTTTCAGTGTTGATGTCTTTATTTAGTCTCTCACTAAACACTAAACGCAAGCCCGGAAGCAATAAAAACTGCTTGGCTCGCAGTAGCACGGTTAACAACTTAACCAAGATATAATTTACAGGTGGGGAAATTCACACATGCTAAGCAAACAAGCCAGTTTTCAAAAGTAAAATGCACAGGGCGGTACCCTGTTTTCAGCACCCCAGAGAGATCCCTGCCGCTCATTTACAAAGCATCTCTAACGTCTCCTCCCGCCTCTCCCTCCGCTCCCAATCATCAACCTACTTTCTGTTTTAAAACATTTGCCTCTTCTGGACATTGAATGCAAATGGAATTGTATCCTGTGAAATAGAGCCTGCTATGCCTAACTTGCTTTCCTTAGCCTAGGTCCTAGGGGTCATCCATGTGGTGAGTTATCCTGTTACCCCGATGCCTTACCTGTGTCTGTGCCTGATATTTTTCACGGTGGGCCATGGCTGCTGGGGCCGTGACGAAGGTGATATGTGTGAACCAGCATTTTGTGAACAAGCCCACGTTCCTGTCTCTCCAACGAACACTCACAACGGAGTTACTGGTATTGTGTAAATGCATGTTTAAGTTTAAAACTTAAAGCACCAAATTTCTTCCCAAAGTGGCTACCCCACGGGGCCTCCTCAGCCATCAACAAAGGTTTGGGGTCTCTCCATCTCTGCCAGCACTTGCTTCTGTCTGGTGCCATGCCGTAGCCATTCTGGTGGGTTTCCTGCTCTGACCCAGAAATGCTTGAGTGAAGACGCGTGCTACCTCTGGGGATGAACAGAGCCAGGTGTGAGACGCGACACCCCCACCCACCAGCCTAACAAGGATGGGGATCCTGGGAGCTACTTCCCTGCCATGCACAAAAAGGACATTAGGTGTCCTGAGGGCCTGTTGTGGGTTTTACTCCCACCAAGAGACAACTGCAACCCTCACAGCCTCCGCCACCACCATCACCCCAGATCCTTGCCTGCACCACAAGCACCATGGCGGGGACGGGCTTTATTCTGTGTTTAGCATGTTATGTTTTATTTGAGGCAGGGCGTCATTTAGTCCACATTGGCCTCAAACTGGATGTAGCTGATGACGACCTTGAACTCCTGGTCCTCCTGATCCTCCTAACTGCTGGGATTCCAGGCATGCACCACCCACCCCAGCTCTATGTGCTGGGACTCGAACTCAGGGCTTCACACAAGACAGGCAAGTGCTCTACCAGCTGAGCTACAGCCCGGTCTAAGTGCTCCAACCACTGAGCTACATAACTGGTCCTGTGTGCCTGCTTTAATCTGTGAAGTCGTATTGTTGCCTCTGTTTTGTAGAATGGGAGACACACAGTTGTACTCATTTGCCCCAAGCCACAGAGGTAGCAAGAAGCAGTGCCGGCTGCAGAGCCCAGCCCTGGGTCCCTGCATCCTGTCTCCCACTCCGATGAGCACTATGCATGCCCGTTCTGAAGAAGCATCCCGAAATCCAAGAGATGAAGTCAAAGCAGAGGAAAGGAAGGCCCAGCGGAGATTATGTGCAGAGAGACACTCAGCCTCGGGATGTGTTCTTCTCCTTTTTTTTTTTTTTTCCTTTTTGCATACGGACACAGCCCAGATAGCAGAGCTCAAAGCATCTTTTGTGCGGTTGTCCTGCAACGAGTGACGTCATAGGCACCACCAAGTCTTTATCATTTCTGCTGGACAACGAGCTCACCGCCCTAGTCCTGGAGGAGCCAGGGAGGTGCTGGGCAGCGGAGCTCAGGTTTCCCAATAAGCTGGTGAGTGTGGGGCCGGGGGGCACACATGGAGGGTGATGTCTGCGCTGGGTGGGGGACAGGAAAGGCAGGAAGGCAGGGAGGCTGACCCTGCAGGGGTGAGTATGTGGGGGTAGACAGTGATGGCAACACTTCCAGATGGGCAAGAGTCTCCTGCTAGGGGAACAGAAGACACCCCAACTCCCCGCACTGTCTCCCCCTATTCACCTCTGTCTCACTAGCGTCCGGGACCATGGGGGAGAGCTTCTCTCCCGGCAATCACTGGCTTTTCTTTTCCGTGTACCTGCTGGTCTTCCTCGTGGGGCTCCCCCTCAACGTGATGGCCCTGGTGGTCTTCGTGGGCAAGCTGCGCCGCCGCCCTGTGGCCGTGGACTTACTCTTGCTAAACCTGACCCTTTCGGACCTGCTCCTGCTGCTGTTCCTGCCGTTTCGCATGGTGGAGGCGGCGTGTGGCATGAGGTGGCTCCTGCCCTTCATCCTCTGCCCCCTCTCGGGGTTCCTTTTCTTCACCACCATCTACCTCACCTCGCTCTTCCTGACGGCGGTGAGCATCGAGCGCTTTCTGAGCGTGGCCTACCCGCTGTGGTACAAGACCCGGCCACGGCTGGCCCAGGCTGGTCTGGTCAGCGGCATCTGCTGGTTCCTGGCGTCGGCCCACTGCAGCGTGGTTTACGTCACCGAATACTGGGGAAATGCCACCTCCAGCCAGGGTACCAATGGAACCTGCTACCTGGAGTTCCGGGAGGACCAGCTGGCCGTGCTCCTGCCTGTGCGACTGGAGATGGCGGTGGTCCTCTTTATGGTGCCCCTGTGTGTCACGAGTTACTGCTACGGCCGCCTGGTGTGGATTCTCAGCCGAGGAGCCAGCCGGCGCAGGCGCAAGAGGGTGATGGGGCTTCTGGCTGCCACGCTGCTCATCTTCTTTGTCTGCTTCGGCCCCTACAATATGTCCCACGTGGTGGGCTACGTCCGGGGTGAGAGTCCGGCCTGGCGGAGCTACGTGCTCCTCCTCAGCACCCTTAACTCTTGCATCGACCCCCTTGTCTTCTACTTCTCGTCGTCCAAGTTCCAGGTCGACTTTCAGCAGCTCCTGGGGAGGCTGACCAGAGGCTGTGTGCCTTGGACTCAGGCAGTCAGCTTGGAACTGAAGGTGAAGAACGCAGAAGAGCCGTCCAAGGAGTGTCCAAGCTAGAACGAAGGGTGGACCGGAGAGGGGCGTGGAACCATTGGCCCAGTGCCTTGGCTGGCTGGCGGCGGCATCTCCAGGGACAGGAGGGAGTAGGCAGGTGTGTCCGCAGGGCCCTCATTCCCTAGCTCAGGACACACGAGGCTCCTGTGACAGGCTGGGGACACAGTGTCTCTCGGCTTTCCCTGGGCGTGTACATGTTCTGGACTCTCCACACCGCCCTCCCTCCCATCCTTTCATACGCCCTGGGTTCCACTCTGGGACGTTGTAATGGTGACAGATTTCTCTAGAAGAAAGAGCCGAGCCTCTGCGGCAGAGGCACCGGCTTCAGTGCCTCCCTGGGGGTGGGACGCCATGGGGGTGGGGTGGGGAGGTAGGGGAGGCTGCCCAGGGCTGGAGCCGAGCTGGAAACCTGGAAGGGGGTGGGGTGGGGGTGGGGAAGGTGGGGAGGTACAAGCCACTGATCCTGGCTCTTCAGAGTGGAGGAGACCGGGTTCCACGGGGGAGGGAACAGCCTGGCCTTGGGAAGGTTTTCCAGAGCGTTCTCACAGCTCCGTAAATCCAGATCTTCTGCGATACTTAATGAACAATGGCAGCAAAGAGAAAAATTATCCAAATAAATTCCGCTCTAGCAAAAGAAAATGATGTCTCTATGTCTTCTTGGTTTCCCCGGGTAGTTTAGGTGTTAGAGGGAAAGAACACTCATTCACAATGAAGGAATGGGTCTGTACAAAATGCCCAGGCGCCTGCAGAGGGTCGGGCTGGAGGAATAAAACTAATGACAATGTTATCTTTTTAAGTTTTTTCTTTTCTATTTAGGGCTGGGGATGTACACCCCGGCCCCACATGCACCCAGATATGGTTGTGTCCATATCTGTGACCTCAGCAGTAGGGGAGAGGTGACAGAAGCTCAGACGCCCAGGGTCATCCTCAGCTGCCAGCCTGAGTACCAGAAACCTCATCTCACAACAAAAACAAGAGCAAAACCCTCAAGAAGTGGCAGAGGACCTTGGATGAAATTCCTGACTTGAACTGGGTGGATTTCAGCGCGGTGTAAAAGCTCAGGTCACAGGGGTTGCGCAAGAAGGTAATGGCTGTTTTCTATGAACAAGGCTCAGTCTTGTTTGTGACATTCCTAGAAAACTTTATGCTGACTTCTGGGAGAGGATGTAGGCCACGTGACTCAGGTCTTAAGCATGGGCTCACTGCTGCTTTGACATTTAGGTTTTGTTTTGGTTTTTCGAGACAGGGTTTCTCTGTGGCTTTAGAGGCTGTCCTGGAACTTACTTTGTAGACCACGCTGGCCTCGAACTCACAGAGATCCGCCTGCCTCTGTCTCCCGAGTGCTGGGATTAAAGGTGTGAGCCACCAACGATCAGCCCCAGTTTTGACATTTAAAACAATATATTATTTTTGTGCTGAAGTGTTTTGTCTAGATGTATGTCTGTGTACTGAGTGTGTGTGTGTGTGTGTGTGTGTGTGTGTGTGTGTGTGTGTGTGTGTTACCCTCTGGGGTTAGCAGAAGGCACTGGATTTGCTGGAACTGGAGTTAGAGATGTCTGTGAGCCACTGTGTGGATGCTGGGAAGCAGAGCCAGCGCTCTAGCCCTTGTTTTGTTTTTGAGACAGGATCTCACTATGTAGTCCTGGCTGACCTAGAACTCACTGTGCAGACCAGGCTGGTCTGTCTCTGTCTCCTGTACCACTACACACCACACCCAGCCTCACTATTGGTTTTTGTTGTTGTTTGTTTGTTTGTTTGTTTGCTTGTTTGGGTTTTGGAGACAGGGTTTTTCTATTGGCTGTCCTGGAACTCACTCTGTAGACCAGGCTGGTCTCGAACTCACAGAGATCCACCTGCCTCTGCCCCTTGAGTGCTGGGATTAAAGGCGAGCGCCACCCCCATGCCGCCACTTTTTTGTTTTTTCTAAGATGGAATCTTTGTAGCCCAGGCTGGCCTCAAACTCTCTCTACCTTACTTAAACCAGGCACCTGAATACAGACATGAGCTCCTGGTAATCTTAAAATAAACAAAATGAAAAATTACCCCATGCATTGTGGGATTGCTGATGCCCTGGAAACGAGCTAGGATTAAACAAGCCAGGCCAGGCAAGAGCCACGAGCAGTGGGCGTTCTGTGGAAACAAGCTCACTCCTCTGCCTAGACACCTTGGCCAAGAGTGAGCAACACAGGGTGTGGGCAGATGCAGATGTGTGAGCTCCAAAGCCTGACTGATGATTTACAAGCTTGGGAGGGGAGGGCTTTGCTGCTTCCATTCCCAGATGCCTCCAGCGTTTCCGGTGTTTGCTGGAGAGTCTCCCTGCTTAGATCCCACAGCCATCTTTTCTACACCAGACAGTGGTTTCCAACCTCCCCAAGGCTGCGACCCTTTAATACAGTGTCCCATGTTGTGTGACCCACAACCATAAACTTATTTCATTGCTACTCCACAACTGTAATTTTGCTGCTGTCGTGAACCACAATGTGAATAACTGATATGCAGGACATCTGATACACAACACTCATGAAAGGGGGGTCATTCCGCCCCACCCACAAAGGGTCCATGACCCACATATTGAGAGCCACTGTCTGAGAAGGTCTTCTTGAGAAGCCTTTATCAAAACGATTCCCTGCAGAGGAGTATGCCTGTCAGGATCCAAAGTTCAAGGCTAGCCTGGGCTACAGAGCAAGGCCCTGTCTCCAAATAAAATTAAAAGGCTAGGAATGTAGCCTTGCAGGGGATCGCTTGCCTAGCAAGTACAAGACCCTAAATTTGATCCTCAGCACAGCAAAAATAAGCAAAGAAAAAAATTCTTGCTTCTTCTTTGCAAGTTAACCAGAGCACAGCTCTCCTCGCCCCCACTGTGCTGCGAGGGACCCTGCTCCCTGTGGCCTCCTCTCTCTGCTCATGAGCTCTGAGGAGGACTCCACTTGCCTTTATTTCAACTAGTTATCCTTTGCCTTCACAGGGTATCCACTGACAGAAAGCAGGCCAGTGGTTGCTATGAGCTGGGAGTAGCTTAAATGGAGATATGGATGAGGAAGATGCCCCTGGGACATTACAGGGTGAAGGAGAAATTCTATAACTTGATAGAACTGGAATGTCAAGTCATAAGTCAAAACCATGACCTTAGAGCAGATGAGTATTCTCGAATGCAAGTCCAGCAGCAGTAAGCGTGTGTGCGTGTGTGTGCGTGTGTGCGTGTGTGTGCGTGTGTGTGCGTGTGTGCGTGTGTGCATGTGTGTGCGTGTGTGTGCGTGTGCGTGTGTGTGCGTGTGTGTGTGTGCATGTGTGTGTGTGTGTGTGTAGGGAGAATGTGTTGTGTACTTTCATATACTTGTTTGTGTGTGTGTGTGTGTGTAGAATGTGTTGTGTACTTTCATATACTTGTTTGTGTGTGTGTGTGTGTGTAGAATGTGTTGTGTACTTTCATATACTTGTTTGTGTGTGTGTGTGTGTGTAGAATGTGTTGTGTACTTTCATATACTTGTTTGTGTGTGCCCACACCTATGCATGTGAAAATATTTAAAAGAGTGTGTTCATGGCCCAACCCTTGTGCATCTTAATTATCTAAGTTGCATCTGTTTACTTATCTATTTTGGTGGAGGTTGTGTGGGTGCGTACATGGAGGCGCATGCTGGTGGGAGTGGACTTTCTCCCTCACCATGTGGGTTCCTGGGGATTGGACCCAAAGGCCAACCGAGGTCTGATGCGAGCACCTTCATCTGCTGACAGCCATCCCACCAGCCCCTTAATTGTTTTGAGCCAGGATCTTGCTATATATTCTGAGCTGGTGCCAAGCCCATCACCATCCTGGGTCTGCCTCCCAGGTGCTGGGATTGCAAGCTTGTACCATCAAGCTGGTAGCTGCATCTTTATTGGGTTTCTCATAATGTGTCCCCGTTGTTAAGTGGGGCAGAGACTGGCTGACTTTTCAAATGTGTTCTTAGCAGTCTCTCATCTCAGGAAGTCCCTATCTGCCCTGCCATACTTCTCCCAAGGACTGTCCCTCACCCACAGAGATAGTTATGGAGGACACAAGTCTCTCTCTCTCTCTCTCTCTCTCTCTCTCTCTCTCTCTCTCTCTCTCTCTCTCTCTCTCTCTCTCTGTGTGTGTGTGTGTGTGTGTGTGTGTGTGTGTGTGTGTGTGTTTCTCTGTATGTTTCGAGACAGACTTTTTCTTTGTGGACCCCGGGCTAGTTTCAAGTTCACAACACTTCAGTGGCCCCGGGTGTGAGGTTATATAGAGATAAACCATCATTGTCAGCTTTCTTTCCGTCATTCCTCTCTTCTTTTTTTTAAAATTACTTATTTTTATTTTCGTTGGTGTTTTATCTAATGTATGTCTGTGTGAGGGTGCCAAGATCTTGGAGTTATAGACAGTTGATAGCTGCTGGGAATTGAACCTGGGTCCTCTGGAACAGCAGTCAGTGCTCTTAACCACTGCACCATCTCTCCAGCCCCCTTTCCTCTCTTCTTAAGCCAACATTTTTACTTTATGTGTAAGGCTGCCTTGCCTGCAGGCATGTCTGTGCACCGCCAGTGTGCCAGGTGCCCATGGAGACCAGAAAGAGGGCATCAGATCCTCTGGACCTGGATGTGGTCTCCTGAGCTGCCATGTGGGTGCTGGGAACTGACCCAGGTCGTCTAGGACCCTTGATCCCTCTTGCCAGCTGCAGCTTTATTCTCGTAAGCGTGTTGTACAAAGGAGTCGGCTTCCCTGTGTCATTCCCAAACCTGTATGTAATGCACTTGGCTCATATGAAGCTCTCTTCTCCCCCTCTCTAGTCGGCCCCTTCCTTCTCTCACGCAGTTCTCTTTTTACTACTGCCTCTCCCCTTTTTCAGATCTTGGTGGGGTATAGGAGGGAAACACACAGCATTTCTTCCTCCCGTCCGTCACTCCTCAGCTGGTCCACCTGTGTGAACTGTGCCTCTTCAGCTGATCTCAAATGTCCGAAAATTTCCCTTTGATGCATCTGGGACTTACATATCTGCTCCTTTGTCTGCTGTGACTCTTCTCACCGAATACAGGAGCTTACAGCAGCCAATACTGCTCGACTGGAGGCTCCAGCTCACCCTTGCATGGTCCTGGAAGCCCGGCTCATCTCTCTCTCTCTCTCTCTCTCTCTCTCTCTCTCTCTCTCTCTCTCTCTCTCTCTCTCAAGCCTGCCCACTCAGAGAGTCTCTGAAAGGAAAGGTGCCAAAAAGCCCAGTTCTGTATTTCCTGGTAGTTACTGCACTTCCTCCCCTGATGCCACCAGCCGCCCAAGTCCCTGCATAAATGTTCAGCTTTTCACCAAACTTGGGCACAAACCCAGCTTGTGGCAGACACGTCATCACC